ATTTAGTTTGCTTTAACACTGTTGACCCTGGGCCAGGGAGCTATTCTGTAGCAGGTGAGTTTTTCCTTACTTCTCCAAGTTAAAGCACACTCTGACGTACTTCACCACCAATTTTGTATTGTTATAAAATACACGTAATATAAAATTTTACCATTTTAGCTATTTGTAAGTGTACACTTCTGTGGCACTAAGCACACTGTCATTGATGTGCAGCTGTCATCATATCCACCTCCAGAATTTTTTCATCTATCCCAACTTTATATCCATTAAACACAAATTCCCCATTCTTCCCTCCCCTCACTCTGGCAACCACCATTCTACTTTCTATCTTCATGAATTTCCCTCATGTAAGTAGAATCACACAACATTTGTTCTTTTGTGACTGGCTGATTTCACTTAGCATAACGGCCTCAAGGTTGTAGATAAAAGTCGTCAAACTCTGTAAAATATTTGAAGAGATTTATTCTGAGCCAAATATGAGTGACCAATGGCCTATGGCACAGCTCCAGGAGATTATAAGAACATGTGCCCAAGGTGGTCAGGCCACAGCTTGGTTTTATACATTTTAGGGAGATATAAGACATCAATCCATACTCATAAGATGTGCATTGCTTCCGTCTGGAAAGGGGGAACAACTGGAAGTGGGGGCTTCCAGGTCGTGGGCGAATTCAAGCTTTTCTAATTGGCAATTGGTTGAAAGAGTTATTATCTAAAGACACAGAATCAATAAAAATGAATATCTGGGTTGTGGAGACCAAGGTTCTATTATGCAGATGAAGCCTCTGGGTAGCAGGCTTCAGAGCTCTCATCAGACCTAAAAAGGTACCTGAGTCTTAGTAAATTCTCTCCTGGATCAGGGAAAAGACCTGGAAAAGGATGGAGATTCTCTACAGAACGTAGATTTTCCCCATAAGAGACAGCTTTGCAGGGCCATTTCAAAATATGTCAAAGAAATAGGCCAGGTGTGGTAGCTCACACCTGTAATCCCAGCACTTAGGTAGGCCGAGGCGGGAGGATCATGAGGTCAAGAGATTGAGACCATCCTGGCCAACATGGTGAAACCCTGTCTCTACTAAAAATACAAAAATTAGCCGCTGAGATCATGCCACAGTATTCCAGCCTGGTGACAGAGCAAGACTCCATCTAAAAAAGAAAGAGAGAAAGAAAGAAAGAAAGAAAGAAAGAAAGAAAGAAAGAAAGAAAGAAAGAAAGAAAGAAAGAGAGAGAGAGAAAGAGAGAGAGGGGAAAGAAAGAGAAAGAAAGAAAGAAAGAGAAAGAAAGAAAGAAAGAGAGAGGGGGAAAGAAAGAAAGAAAGAAAGAAAGAAAGAAAGAAAGAAAGAAAGAAAGAAAGAAAGAAAGAAAGAAAGAGAGAGGGGGAAAGAAAGAAAGAAAGAAAGAAAGAAAGAAAGAAAGAAAGAAAGAAAGAAAGAAAGAAAGAAAGAAAGAAAGAAAGAAAGAAAGGAAGGAAGGAAGGAAGGAAGGAAGGAAGGAAGGAAGGAAGGAAGGAAGGGAAAGAAAGAAAGAAAGAAAGAAAGAAAGAAAGAAAGAAAGAAAGAAAGAAAGAAAGAAAAAAAGAAAGAAAGAAAGAAAGAAAGAAAGAAAGAGGGGGAAAGAAAGAAAGAAAGAAAGAAAGAAAGAAAGAAAGAAAGAAAGAAAGAAAGAAAGAGAAAGAAAGAAAAGAAAGAAAGAAGGAAAGAAAGAAAGGGGTAAAATACTTTGATTCCTTTCAGGGGGTAAAATACTTTGATTCCTTTCAGGGCCTGCTATCTGTCATGTGATGCTATACTAGAGTCAGGCTGGAATTTGGTGTCTTATTGCTATAAAAAGTCTGTTTTGTCAGTCTTCAGATCTTTGTTTTAATGTTAATGCTGGTCAGTTGTGCCCTAATTCTAAAGGAAGGAGGGTATAATGAGGTATGTCCCAACCCCCACTTCCCATCATGGCCTAAATTAGTTTTTCAGGTTAACTTTGGAATGCCTTTGGCCTAGGTGAGGGTCCATCAGTCAGTTGAGGGACTTAGAATTTTATTTTCCGTTTATAAGGTTCATCCATGTTGTAGTGTATATCGAAATTTCCTTCCTTTTTAAGGCTGAATAATATTCCATCATATGTATATACTCTATGTTGTTTATGCATTCATTCCCTGAGGGACACAGGTTTCTTCCACCTTTTGGCTATTATGAATAATGCTGCTATTATTGAATGTAAGTGTACAAATATCTGTTCAAATCCCTGTTTTGACTTCTTTTGGATATGTACCCAAAAGTGGAATTGCTAGACCATATGGTAATCCAGTGTTTAATTTTTTGAGGAATCTCCATGCCATTTTCCACAGTGGCTGCACCATTTTACATTCCCACGAGCAACGCACAAGTGTTCCAATTTCTCCCCATCTTTGCTAACACTTCTTTCCTTTTTTTTTTTTTTTTTAATTATAGCCATCCTAATGGATGTGAAGTAGTGACTCATTGTGGTTTTGATTTGCATTTTCCTAATGATTAGTGATACTGAGCATCTTTTCATGTGTTTATTGGCCATTTGTGTGTCTTCTTGGAGAAACAGCTATTCAAGTCCTTTGCCCATTTTTTAATCAGGATGTTTATTTTTTGTTGTTGAATTGTAGGCATTCTTTAAATATTCTGAATCTCAATCCAGATATATGATTTACAAATATTTTCTCTCATTCCATGGGTTGCCTTTCACTCTGTTGATAGTGCATGTTGATGCAAAAAGTTTTTAATCTCAGCCAGGCATGGTGGCTCATGCCTGTAATCCCAGCACTTTGGGAGCTGAGGCAGGCAGATCACTTGAAGTCAGGAATTCAAGACCAGCCTGACCAACATGGCAAAACACCATTTCTACTAAAAATACAAAAATTAGCTGGGTGTGGTGGCATACGCCTGTGGTTCCAGCCACTTCGGAGGCTGAGGCACGAGAATTGCTTGAACCTAGGAGGCAGAGATTGCAGTGAGCCGAGGTCATGCCACTGCACTCCAGCCTGGGTAACAGAGCAACATTCTGTCTCAAAAAAAAAAAAAAAAACAGTTTTTAATCTTGGTGAAATACAATTTATCTATTTTTTTCAATGCCTATGCTTTGGTGTCATATCCAAGAAATTATTGCCAAACCCTGCCACCAATTTTTAAATACCCAGCCTGAATCCATTTAAACTGTTCAGTGAATGACTTAAAGAATTTTAAAGTGAGTTATTTCTATTCAACAATGTACTTTTGTAATTAAGGGAGATGTTAATAAATATCCATTCATGGCCCAAGTTTTTTCTCAGTCTTCATTTTCCTGATTAATGCCAAGTACATTAGATGTAAATAGGAAGCATGGAAATAGCACATTGTATTGTACCTCAATTGTTTCCCCATGAGGGATCGTGATCAAAATTATTACCAATTGCCTCTCTTAGGAAAAGAAAATTCTTAACTGATTAAAGACCATGGATATTATATATCAACTATATAATGAGTTTTCAACTTTTTACTTCATTTAAAAAATACTAAATTTCATTTCTAAATACTAAATTTCATGCCATACTTGAGTCAGGCTGGAATTTGGTGTCTTATTGCTACAAAAATCACATATAATAAAGCTCTAAAACTTCAAAGACATTTTGCATTCTGAAAAGGGTTCTTTGTGGTTGCAATGCTCATTTGAAATTCAAATAACTTCTTGGAATTTGAAGCTAGCTAGAAGTTACGTACTGTAGAATAAGAGGGAGATGATCCTTTGTATCATTGCTAATTTATACTAATAGAAGATATTATACTTTTGGACCTAGATGGGAGCAACAAATGCATCTTTTGAAATCATTAAATAATACATGAGCTATCCATGATAAACATCTTGGGCAATGTGTAAGAACTTACCTTTTAACTTCTATAGTTCTTGTGTTAGATGATTATATACTTTTTCAAGCAAGTGTTTGTTAAATCTTCAATTTTATATTGCAGTAGATGATGCAGAAGACCCAATAGAAAGAAGCATAAGACTTGGTTCTTTTCCCTCAGAGAATTTGAGCAAACATGATAATATTAAAGAATAAATAAGGGAGGCTTACCATTTAGAATCTGAGAAAGTCAAGGTGGGCCGAGGTGGTCTGAGGAGGTCTCAAGGAGATGGACCTCTGCAGGCCAAGAGGGCGAGGTTTGGTTGGAGTGAGTGAGAGGCACACCTGCACGACCTAGGAGAGCAGTGACATGAGAAAGTGTCACATCTGGCTGGAGGATAGCACGTGCCACATACCTGAGATAGAGGAAGCACATTAAAAGTAAGTTATGGACAGAGGGCTGGGTGAGGACTAATTGTGGTGAGCTGGTATAGTAGTTTATTGTTTGATATAGTAGACTGTAGAGAATCATTGTAGGTTTTTGACCAGGGGAGTAGTAGGAAAATTTAGCCCATCTCCAGTGGAGATCATAGAGCCTTAGAAGTAAAGGGATTTCTGGAAACATCTTACCTAATATCCCATTTTAACTTAGGCCAGAGAAGTGAAATAACTTGCTCAAAAGGTCACCCAGTTAGAAAAGAGCAAATCTGTGTCTCAGATTTATCCTTTACCTTGTAGTCTGATTATCTTTCTTTCATATCATAGTCCTCCAAAACCTATTAGAGAAAAGAAAATAAAAAGAAAGGATACATAAGAAGCAGCATCTTGATAGGAAAAAGCCAAATAAATATTTTATTTATATTAGTAAATGAGGCAGGCAAATATCTAGAGAATTCATAGAGGACCAAGTGATTTCTTAAAAATAGTGTCTGAAAAAAGTGAAAAACTAATTCTAATTAAATCATATTAATAGGTATTTATGGTATTAATTGGTTATTCTACATTACTATAAGAATGTGTAATTTTTATCAAACCTACCCTAGCAAATGGGTGCTAAGCTAAAGCTGAATTACTGAACAAATGAATGAATACCTAAATTTGTCTTTTTTCTTCCAGTAAATATCTTACAAGTATTATTTAAGGAAAACATTTTCTTTTACAGATTCACCTTTTTGGAGTTTTGCTGGCCATTTTAGGAAACTTGCTGATCAGCATTTCTCTAAATATTCAGGTAAGAAAAAAGCTTATTTTTCTAGCACTGTAGATTAATCCAGGGACACATTATGACTCTCATGGGCCTTGGAAACTTTTGTCTTTGTGGCTCTTTTCTCCATAAAAATTATAAAAATATATATATTTTATGACCTCATTGGTGTAAAGAGAAATATAATGCAAGCTGGAGTGCATTCATTTTTCTTCTTCTTCTTCTGATTTTAAAAGAAATTAATTTTGGGGGGTGTGGAGTGGGCTCTGACAGTATTGTAGACCCTAGCTAGTAAGGGGCCTATGGTGTCACTGGTTTGATTTAAAGTACTTTGATTTCTTTCATAGCCTTCACCTCAGGTGGGATATGGATACTTTTTAGAAGCAGTTCATAAAAGTACAGATTATAGGGTTTTTTCCCCTTTCTTTAAAATGCTCTTAAATATGCCAGTATAGACTAATGGTCTTGAGGAAAGAATGTAGAATACAAAATAGGAACTATAATTGAACATGAATTAGGAACCTGAATAAATTGCTGATTTGCTAAATGTAAATTGAAGGAAATATGAATTTTTAACCAAATCAGGAATTAAATAAACCATTTTGAATCATTTAATGAATCAGTTTGAATTAGAATCAAATTGCTGCAGTCTCTAAAATGATTTGAATCAAAATAAACCTGAACATCAAAATATCTCCCAGAATGTTATATGGTAATTCCCTCTTAACCTCAGGGGATAAATTGCAAGACTCCCAGTGGATGTCTGAAACTAGAGCTAATACTGAACCCTATTCAGTATATACTATGTTTTTCCTATACATACATACCTATGATCACATTTAATTTATAACTTAGGCACAGTAAAAGATTAACAACAATAGCTAATAATAAAATAGAACAAGTAAGTAAGATAAGGGTTACCTGAACACAAGCCCTGTGCTATTGCAACAGCTGATCTGATAACCGAGAGGGCCACTGAATGACTAAGGGACGGGGAGCATCTGTAGCCTGGATACATTGGACAAAGGGAGGATTCACATACCAGGCGGGACAGCAAGAGATTTCATCCTGCTACTCAGAAGAGAATGCAATTTAAAATGTATGAAATGTGTATTTCTGGAATTTTCCATCTAATATTTTCTGACCATGGGTAACTGAAACCACAGAAAATGAATCCGTGGATCGAGGGGTGACCACTATATTTGTTTATACAAATCTTTGCTAGAGAATGACCTAGTATAATTTTCAATAATTCCCCAAAAATGTATTTGTTTTTTAAAAAATACAAAAATAAATTAGTGTTCTTATAAAAAGAATTAAAGGAATACAAAAGAAAAAAAAGTGGCATTCCCCTCATAGCTCAGAATGTTTTCTTATTTATCTTCTGATTTACTTTCAGAAATATTCTCACCTTCAGCTGGCACAACAGGAGCACCCAAGGCCATACTTCAAGAGTGTGCTATGGTGGGGTGGTGTCCTGCTGATGGCCGTGGGAGAGACGGGGAACTTCGCAGCCTATGGATTTGCTCCCATTACTCTGATCGCTCCGTTAGGCTGTGTGTCTGTTACAGGTAAGCCTTTGTGTGTTTTGACAAACAGAAACTTAAAGAGCAGAAAAATTGAGAAAAACACACAACTGAAACAACAAATGCACCAAAAAAGAAAGTCTATTGCCTGGTTTCTTAGCACATTAACATGGAACAATTATTCTGCTAATTTCAGCGATCTGTTGTCATGCTGTCACATTAACCATGAAGAAACTTGCAGTTTGTCACTCTAACACTTATCTGTGAAAGCCTGATGCCTGAGTCTTAATAAATTAACAGTGACAGAAAATGTTATACTATGCTTGTAATCATTAATGAGTTACCTAAAAGCATTTGTAATGCAATGTTTTATTCATATGTTAAACTGATAATACCTGTGGTTAGAGTCTTTGATGTCTGGTCTTGACTTCATAGTTTAGTATCTGTTTGACATTAAGAATTAAATATTGGTTATTCTACATTACTATAAGAATGTGTAATTTTACAGTAATGTCACAAATATCTACTTTGAAATTTTATGTAATTTACTAAATACATTTAGAAAACAGAAAATGAGATGTTGTGAAAGACTTTTAAAAAAAAGAGCAAAAATCACTGCTAAAAAGGAGAACAAATTCTCTAAGCCCTGTTAAAATCAATAAAATCTTTTTGGTTTTACTCTTTATCTGTTGCTATGGAAACAGAATGTTTCTAAATTTGCGTGAATTTAGAAACTTCATTGAAATAGAAACAACTTGATAGTCATTATCTGTTAACAACTAGATCAAGCATATCACATGTTTACATATCCCAATTTAAATGTTCCTCCTAAACAACTATATGATATTCTTAAAGAAAACATTATTTAAATTGAAACAATGCAGATTCAGAGAATTTTATTTTATTTTGTAAGTCATTTATCTCAATCATTTAAAATATTTTATTTAAAATACTTGAATGAGGTATAACAGAATATTTAGCAAAAACACACTTACTTTGCTTTCTAGAAATAGCCTACTTAAAAGAGCCATCCTGTTACTACTCTGAAGAGGCACACAATTTATGTAATCATTTACTGTTTTTAACATTCCAATAGAATAAGCAAATTGGGTAAACCTCACTTTGTATTTAGTAAACCACAAAACATGTACATTTAGATATTTTATGTTTTCAAAATCTAAGAAATAACAGATAAAAGATCTAGTTATATGGTGAACTTGGGATCCCTCCAGACTCTTGCTGTCTTGAAAATATTGTTTTATTCTACAATAATGACTGTGTATGTCATGCTTATCTTTAGTTTTGTTCCTTACTTTATGCTGTTTCCATGAAATAGCCAGAGAAAAATGTGTCCGGGCATATTAGATAGATAACTGGGGAAGGCAGGCGGTGAGTGCACCATATGGTATTGAAATTCTCCATTTATCTCACGTCTCCTGGTCCTGGGAAGTATTTTGCAGGAGTGGGGTATAAGAAAAAGGGTGCTACCCCAGGTGGTTCAGACAAGGGGAAATATTGTTGTAAAGATCAGAGATTTCACAGAAATGAGATATAACCAGACCTCATGGGGCCTGAAGTGAGAATGGGGCAGTTTTCAGGACTTCAGGGTCAGCAGTCGTACCCTTCCTAGACCTTCAGTGAAGCTGCCTGTGAGTCTGCCCATCTTGGCAAGACTTGATCCAAGCTCTCATTAAAAACTGAAAGCTGAAGCTTTCCAAACTTCCACTCAGAAAGAGTGTCCTATTCTCCCAAGTCCCCTGTGAGCCGGTCCACCCACCTTCAAACTCGGAGCCCACTGCCTTGACAGATGGGCTTTTTCTTCATGCTATAGATTATTTTTCTTTGTGTGCTGTTAGCCCCAATTAATGTTTCAGCTTCAGAACATTTTTAGTTACCTCCCTCTCTGTCCATCTGAAATGATTCAAAGATGTGAACTTACAGCCTCAAACACAACTCATTTCCTGCTTTACAATCTTTGCACACAGTAATGTATGTTCATAAATAGTATTCCCACAGCAGTCCTGAGCTGGATTTAAGTCATTGTAAAGCTTTGTGGGTGGGTGAGGGACTGCTGGTGATGGAGGATTTTCCCTAGAACAAACCCCTGCTACCTTGAAATTCTTTATAAAGATCCTAGAAACTCTAGAGAATTTGAAGGAAAAGGGAAAGTATAAACCAGATGTGTCTTATGTATGTGTCTACAGATGAAGCAGAAAATCCACACTTTTCTATGTTAAAACTTTTTTTCGGTATCATTTCTTGGGAGCTTTAAGAAATCAAATCTCCCATTGAATTTGAATAAAAAATAAAACCTGTTGCAGTGTTGCATGGGAAACTGCAGATTCTTTTCTGATTTTTCTTCTGTCTTTTGTTGCTTTTCTAAGAGAAGGAGACAGAGAAACTATTAAAATCCAGAACACTTACAATAGTTTTAGCCCTTAAATCCAAGTGTGTTAAGTCCCTTAAATCTTTTATCTTCCTCCCTCTCCTTAGACAGTCTGGTTCACACCAACACATTCTGCTCCATTTTTCCTTTCCAGAAGTAGGGAGAGACAGTGCGGGTAAACACGTGGACTAGTTTTACTACACTGATGATTGCTAATATGCCAGACCTGCTATTTTGTCTCACATAATCAAAATTCCTGCTCCTTTTGTATACTTTGAGTATAATATATATTTGTATACTTTTGAGTATAATATATTCAATTAAATATTAAATATAAATTAAATATATAATATTTAATATATTTATGTTTAATAATATAAATACAATTTTATTGATTGTATTTAATATATTTAATATAATTGTATTAATTATACTTAATATAATTATATTGATTATATTTAATATATATTTAATATATTGATTATATTTAATAAGTTATATTAAATTTTATTTTGTTATATATTTAATATATATTAAATATAGTTCTATATTAATAGATACTATACTAATTGAATATGTATTCAATTAAAGTATGCATGTCATATGATTGACATATATATGTCTGACATATATGCTAGTCACATATAGGACTCATTTGTAAGAAGCACCACAGTTAGCAATATGGGCATTTCAACTTGCCCTCTACCCATGTTTTCCTGCCTTGAAACACCTTTCTTCTGTGATTTTTTCCCCTCTCTCTGTGTGTCCTGCTGTTCCTCACTGACATGCTCAGCTTCAGGCAGCATTTGTCCAACATTAGTTTTACAGGTAGATTCATAGGTGTTCTAAGAAACAAAGAATTCCATAATCAAACAGCATTCTGCAATTTGGGGTTTTAAAGGTGACAGAGGTTTCATTAGTGTAGAGCTTCTTGGGGCCTTAAGACAGGCCCATGCACACTGTGAATCGTGAGAGGCAGATGCAGTACTCCAGGTCTCCAAAACATACTGAGCGCATCTGAGATTCCCTTGATTGTATCTCAAGGCAGTTCTGCAGAAAACCCTTTAGGGAATTCTTAAGGCAAAGCTCACAGGCAGTCACATCGTGCTAGAGACTCAGCCTAAATAACCCGTCTATGCCTCACCGTGAAGACGGCAAAATGGGGAATGATCTCAGTGCACAGGGATGCCCAGGCCTGGGTCCAGCTTTTTAAGAGAGTCAGAACCTTCGTATCCTTGTGTCATCTTTTAATTTTACTTTGTTTTTCTCACTGGAAGTCTTTCTCAATGAATTATAGGTCCAAAATCTATTCTGACTAAAACGCGAATTATACTAGCAGTGTGGTTAATTCTAGATGTGGATTTGTGAAATTCAGAAAGCTTAATTAATGATTTTCAATTTCACCTAGAGGCTAGGTTCAATACTCGCCCTAATAAACCAGGGCAGCAGAAAGGTCAAGAGCTCTAGGACCACACTGCCAGGGTTCAAATCTCAGTTCTGCCACTGGCAAGCTCTGTGACCTTGGGCAAATTATTCAAACCAGTTTATGCCTCAGATCCCTAGCCTGTAAAATGGGAGTGAAGCAGTTTCCATATTAGAGGTCATTGTGGGGAAGAACTGAGTAAATTCAAACATCCAAGGACAGTGTTGGATAGATAGTATTTGACATAATGACAACACTGGCTATCGTCACTATGATTTGTGATTATTAGTGTGTAGAAAAATAAAATACCTTATTCTTTATAATGGAGCATACTTTCATGCCTCCAAAGATGGCTGATGGTTAAATTCTCTAAAATGGAGAAATCAGTTCAAGAAAGGCTTTTTATTGTTATTATCCACGCAGTGGTTAAATTTATGGAGAGCAGAAAAGTAGGATCCTCACTGCTCATTTTTCATCTAATTAAGTTAGCAATTACCTTCAACCCCTTCGCATATTCCCTACCAAAACACAGTGGAAAATAGAAGAATTTCCAAATAACCTACCAAGACGAAATACATTTTAAAAACAAATACGGGAGTTTGTCAGAGGAAATGCTTAGAAAGCTAGATGTGTATGCAGTTTTCCATCTTCGTGCTCTGGTTTCAAAGAGCTTGTGTTCTCTTGTTTATTAACTACATAGAGAGGCTGAATGGCAGATTCCTTTCAGATCAACTGTGATTTGAGGATATGTTTTGTGGGAAACTATTAATATACTAGATATCCAGTACAAAGACATAGGTTAGCTATTCTGTGGAGTTTGTAATAAAATTTCAAACTACTGCTAATCCTTCGTGTCTCAGGTAAACCCTTCCTCAGGAGGCCTTCCCTGGCTTTTAGACTAAGGTAATTAAACAGGCTTATTCTCTGCTCCCTTCACACCCTACGCAGGCCTTCCTCTCATCTGTGTGGTGCCGTTTTGTGAATTAGAAAAAGAGAGCCCTTTCTCAAAATACTTTATTTCTGTCTGTCTGCAAATGATTGTAATACATTAATTTTGTTAGAGCAGGACACTCTGGCAACATCTGTCAGAGAATTGTGTTGAGAAATACACAAATCAACAAGGTGTGAGACGCGGATGGTGCCACCTCAGATGTGGAGACTTTCTGCATTCCAAAACTTACACAGCCTGTCCAACCACACACAGCGACCCTGCCCTATGCTTCCCCTTTGGCACCT